GTGAGAACAGACAGAACTGGCTGGCCAAAGGGATTAGGCTGAGGGAATTTAGAAGTGGAACTGAGGGCTGACAAATAACCAGGGATGAGAACTGATGTGAAGCTAGAATAAGAGATTGGAAGACTAGGAGACACTACCGGGAATTGACAATGTGAGCAGTGGGGGAAGTGGTAGATGAACTGGACTGCTGGATATGAGATACAGGAAAAAAAACAAACAAATGAACAGAGAGCGAGGAAGAGATAGGAGTGATTGGGCAAGACAGGTTGCAGGTAAGGAGCTTTGGAGTTGAAGTAGGGAGAAATGTGGAATGGCGACACAAAGAGCAATGTGACTAGGGACGTGTGTAGACGAAATGGGGGCCCTAAATTGAAGTGGTGGGTTTTTAAAAACACCGCTTCAATTTAGGGCCAAGTAAACCCCCGTGTTGTGCACACATCTGTGCACTTACCTGCCTCTCTGGTGGCAGGAAGGGGAGGACAAGCTGCTGGAGGTGTCCCTGAGTTGCGGGGTGCCTGGTGCTTCCCGCCATGGCAGCCGCACCCCCCTCCCCCCTACAGGCAGCACCTGCCCGCTTGGGGTGGTCCCACAGGCACCACAGCTGCGGGGAGAAGCACCAGGCCCCTTGCAGCCCAGGGACCGAACACTGAGATCTAAGCTGCAATATCATCCAGGAAGTCGAACGTAAGTCCAGCACTTAGAGCAGTCTCTCCATTTCTTTTGTCTCTGCCTGTTTTCCCAGGCTGCTGCCAGGCTATCTGCACAGGCTTCCTGCTGAGCCCATGAGCTGCAGAGCCCAGTGCTTTGCTCCACGGCTGTAGGGCAGCAAACAAACTCCTCAGAGAACTTTTTGTTTGCTACGCCCCAAGTCATTTAAGGCGCATTATGCTGCTGAATTTGCTACAGCAGCTGGAATTACTGTGCAGTACACCGCTGACATGTGCAAACACCAACACCATTAAAGTGGTGCAAAAGCATTTAACCCACTTTAAAATGTTGTGCACACATGCCCCTCGTTTCATCTACACATGGCCTAGGAGTCTGGAGAAGGGAAATTAGAACTCAGTGGGAAAGGAGACTGTATCAGAAACCTGATGATTGGAAATTGTACTGGTAAGAAAATGAGAATGGGACTGGGATGAAGAAGAAGTGGTGGGTGGAGAGTCTGGACTAGTGATGCAGTAGAAGTCGATTAGTGTGTATTTTTCTGAGTCTCCTCATTCTTCTATCTGCCAGTATCTGTGAAAAATCACTGATAAAGTATCCCATTCTCTACTTACATTGCTATCACAAACTCTAGCACTTTAGATGCTAGCTGATGGTAATGATGCCATATTATGAAATTTGTTTTTACAATTTGCTTTAAAAAAACTCCAAGGATATCCAATACAAAAAGAAAATATATTCATAGATTATTCAGACTCCAAAGTCAAATATTTCAAAAGTAGAAAACGGCAGCATTCATGAAGTTGGTACAAATTTAAGCTGACACTCCTGTACACAGGCATTAACATGATATCTTCATTTGCAATAGCACATACAATTTTTTCACACAGGGGCTGTACCTCACGCAATGGAGGCTATTTTATTTATGATCAGCTAATCAACATTTTTGTTTTCTCCATGTTCAGTTTGGCCATATACCTTCTTTATTGTAGAATATTCAAATCCTACTCAGAAAATTGAATTTATTTCTTCATGGGCTTTTCTGTAGCGCTCATCACTACAGGCCTACTACTCATGAATAATAACGAATTTCTTTTCACAACCCTCCTGTGGGATGAGAAGAGACTGTCATCTCCAATTTACAAGTGGGAACTGAGGCACAGACAGTTGAAAGTCAAAAGCCTCCTAATTTTACATACCCAATTAGAAATACCTAGGACATGATTTTTCAGACCATTTATAGGCACTATAATTATTATTATTTTTTACTATATTTAACATTTTGAACTTTTTATGTTCAAAGCACACCTTCTGAATTCAAGCTGATGCTTGGCACTTCTACAAATAAGGATCACAAGTTGGGTATCCAGCAAAGGAGGGATCACAAATCAGTGATCACCTTTAAAAAGTTTGGTTTAAGGTCATATTTGCACAGCATCCTATAGAAGTCTGTGGCACAGGCAAGAAGAGTCTAATTGCAAGCAACTTAACCCAGAAGCCACTCTTTCTCCTCCTGCATTCCTCTCCCCCTCATTCACAGTACAGCTTCAAACTTCAGCAAAAATACAAACAAAGATCCTCCAGACAACATGTACCCTCACTTCACAACCCTGATTCATCCCCAGAGCAGGTCCATACTGTGCTTGCTAAAGGAAACAGGGATCCTGCGGGGGAAAAAATGTTATTTGACCATGTAACTAAAGAAGAAAAGAAAAAGAACATATTACATTTTCACAGACAGCCTTAATTTCTGGCATTTCCTCACTTCCGAGTGCCTTACTTTACACCTCTAATAATATTTTTTTAATATAGTCCTTTTTGTGCATGTAACAGAATGAGTCCGGTGAATCACACTGCCTGCTCTTAAGTTCGTTCACTTGTTAAAAACTAGAGTCTTGCTCCTTCCCTAATTACCTCCTCCTTCCTCTGGCTCAGATGTGAACTGTGAAGCATTTTCTAAGATGTTTTTTTCCCCAAGAGCTAAAGTGCCATGTTTGCCAATTTCACCCTGTTTTCTCCGGTTTGCTCCAAGACACTTAGAAAGGCTTGGTGTCTTTGATGTCATTCTAATATTCATCACCAATATATTTAATCTAATGGTCCCCATCCTGCACCTAATATACATCTATATTTTCAATGCCAAATCTCTCTGGACTGGCTGTATCTTAAATAATCTCTGCTGCTAACTCACTCAGTCTTTTCAACCCTGACTCTGCATTTGATTCTTGCCCCTCCAACACTGGACCTGTGGCAGTCATTGTTTTCTTAGAATTTGAGCTCTCTCATCTGAAAGCCAATTCCCTCTTCTGCCCCACAAATACAGCCACTCCCTTCCAATCAGTCTATAATTTTTTTCTTTTGTCTTTGGCTAATGAGAGGCTCCATCATGCTTTTTAGGAAGGGTGAAATCTAATTTCAGAACAAACTTTTTTAATTTTAAATTGTTGTGAACAGTATCTTTCATTAAAAAGAGAGTCAATTCTGACTCAGTTCAATCTGATCCACTATTTGTGAGCCTTTAAAGGCAATGCAGGAAATTAAAGACTTTCAGAAGCAAAATACATAATTCACGAAAAGCCCTATTCCATCAGCTTAATGAAGTTTATTATAGAATGCAATATAAAAATCATTAAAGAACATTAAGAAAGCAGTTTTGTGTAAAGAACTAGTACTCCTCCGTATTGAAAATTGGACATATAGCATGCATGATGAAATAAAGAGTCTCTCCTTCACTTACTGATGTTTGCACCATCATAGCTCGCTGATCTCGCATTTTTCTTACAATATCCAGTGGATAAACAGGTTGGTTTCTTTCAATTAAACACAGGGCTGTTTCCATAGTGACCAACACACCAGTGCGACCTATTCCAGCACTGCAAATATAACAAGAAAAGAACACAGAAAATCAGATATTTGCAATGAACCAGAATCATATTACAGGCATAAACTGCAAGGCTTTAAAGTACCCTTAAGAAGTAAGACACACTTTTAAAAAGATAAGTTATACAACATGTATTTTAGAAGAATTACAAAGAAAATAATTTCTGATCAGTAAAAGTAAGTTCTTAAAAACAAACAAACAAAGCAGTTTAAATAATGTTTTTTTTAAATTTTAACTGTGGGGAAATGTGACCCATATCGGTGCTGCAGACTTGAATGAAAAGTTAAAATAAGAATAACCTGTGTTTGAGTGGTACTGGAATGGCAGAAACAAAGTAGAAGTTAATATCAGTTCTGACGTAATATCACTATCATACAGCTGTAAACTGGAGCATAAATTGTTTATTACTTTCTACATCATGTTTTTGAGACAGCCACACACCCTCTGGGTGCAGGCTTGGAAGGGACAGTGAGGGAAGAGGGGAAAGGGATCTCCCCTGGGGATGAGGAAAGGGAGTGAGAATGGAAAGAGATTTCTTATATCTGGATGTAAATCATAATTGGGAAGCGTGTTTGGGTTTGGACATACAGTTTGCTTTCACAGGTGTTAATCAGGCAAGGTGAGAGGTGGAATTTTCAAGTTTTGGGGGCTGTTTTTGGAGTCTATTTTAGTTTCCTATATGTGGGTTCTTTGTCTGTTATTGTAAGCCACCGAGTCTTTTGGACAGGGTGGGATATACATGTAAATCTAAATCATCATCTGATGGTCAAACAATTGTTCAATTTCAACAGTAGGCTTTAGTTATGTAGGAGACAAGGGGAATAAGAAGGAGCCCATCCTTTACATACCAGTTTTTGTCTTCACTGATAAACAGTAACTTGCTTTTTTCTATAGTCTTACAATTTTTTTCACCATCATTCAAAGAATCTGCTGCAATGAAAATGCATTGAGAAATACTTTTTTTCTACAAGAGAGCTGGAATTCAGAACCTGTAGGGCAGCATTCAGTGTAACAGAAATTTAAATGAGTACCTGCAGTGAACAAGGACTGGCTCATTCTTTACTCTTTTTGGTCTCATACAGTTCACAAACTCCAAGAAGTCTGTGGAGTCATCAGGAACACCATGATCAGGCCAAGCAACATACTGGAGATGGGTAACTATGTGTTCTTGCTCTGTCTGAAATAAAAGAATAGTGTCATCACACTATTTAATTAGAAAATTCTGTGTTAAGGTCCCTTTAATGAAACTGATTAGCTTGTATTGTGACAAACCTACCTAGGTTGATTTTATACACACATTATACAGATTATGCAAAAAACTACAGGATTTTCCAACCAATTTGTTTTTTCATATTTAAAAAATAACAAGTTTATAGAGAAACTACATGATGCAACAGCATGCAATTTCTAGTTTCATAATTCATGAAAAGATGGCACCTGCAGTAGAACAGCCTCCATCATCAACAACACACTGAAATGTTCATAAAGAACTAGGGCTAGAAGGGACCTCCGTAGGTCATCTTATCATTATGGAACCAATGGAAAAAGTATGCCCACAAAAAACAAACAAACAAACAAAAAAAATCAATCCTCACTCCCTGGACAGTCATAGGTCTTTACTAACAACACTGACTGAGTACAACCTTTCTTTCTTACTGTGCTGTAATCTCACTAAATCACACTAGACAGTATAGTTGCAGACCAGTTCTAAATCTGTTTTTACCCTTCATCCTCATCTGTTTCACACACTTATGAAAAGGTAGAAATGTTAAACAATATATACATTTATAGATTTAGGCAGACAAAGCTTACAAATTAGTATTTGCTAACTTAAATTCTTAGCTGAGGAAAAGTTTTACACAGCATGTAGATATTTCACAAAAAACTATGAAATAATGATATTTATACTACCAAAGGAAGCACCTTATTCAGTAGGGGTGTGCAATGTGGGCCGTATTTGATTCAGTCCAATTTGGGGGAAAGGGATTTGATTTGTTGATTCAGATCAATGTCCCAATTTGATTTGGCTGAATCCAAATCTGAGGATTCGATTCTGATTCGGAGAATCAGTGATTCAGCCATAGACACAGCTTTAAATGTTTTTTCTATGTACCTTGAAGTACCAGGCGTTGGTCATGAATGCTGAAATGGTAGGGTGGGTGGAGCATCCCACATGAACGGGGATGGGGGGGAGGTGGGAGGCAGCTCGGCAATCAGCCTCAGGGGGACCCTGGGTGCCCCCCCAGGCCCAGGAGGCACCAGCCGCTGAGCTGGAGGGCAGCAGGATCTCCCGTGCGCTCCACAGTGGACCCAGAAATAGACCGGAAGTGTTTCTGGTCCATTTCTGCGTCCACCATGGAGTGAGCTGGGGACCTCCGCCTGCCGTGCTCCCATGGGACGCTCCATCCAAAATCTCAGCGTTCACAAGCTGCCTAGTATGTTGAGGTATGTAGAAAAAGCATTTAAAGCTGTGTTTATGTCCAAATCATCAACTCTCTCCAAATCGATTTGGAGGGTTCCAATTCCATTTGAAGAGATTAAAGGGTCTCTTGATTTGATTCGGATTCAGAGATTCGGCCGCTGAATCTCCATGAAATCGAATCAGCAACCAAAGCTTCTCACAGCCCTATTATTCAGCATAATGAAAGTGTAATTAGTTTTGGGATTCTATTGTATGAACAGCATTTTTTCATTTAACTGTATCACATCTCAGAACCTTCCATTGGTTTACATGCTATTGATTCTCATAACACAAGAGGAACTCCTCAAACACATTTAAATGGGTTTTAGTCACTGGACATTTGTTCAGTTGTCAAACATGTACAGGGAATAACTTGAAAACCACAGCTTCATAATATTATCTTGGTCCACAGCACCACTCTCACAGCACACACATGGGTAAAATAAAAACTTTGCCCTCAAAACCAACACCTCCACCCCCTCCCTCCTTAACAGTGCCCATCCACCACTCTCCCCACCTACCAACAATAAAAAACCCACTTACAAGAAGCAAACTATATACAAGAGACAAACTATGTACATATTGAAAACTATTTACAACACTTTGGCTGTTCAAGCCCAGACTGGGGGACCATGGAGGCAGAACCTAGGACAGGTGCCCAGCCCCTAGATGTTCTCTGCGGGTCTGGGGACTGCAGCGACTCCAGCACATGGAGGCCTCATGCGGGGCTGGGTCTTTGGTTGCATGGTGTGGGGCACTGCAGTGGGACCAGGCCCAGGCAGGTGGCAGCAGGTCCAGGACGGGGGCCAGGCCAGGGGGTCTGGCAGGCAGGAGGCACCCTAGGACCTCCTACCAGGGCCAGATGGGGCCTGCTGCCAGGTGGCAGCCAGGACTAAGGGGCCCTGCAGGGCCGTGGATAGGGGCCAGGCAGCAGGGGACATGTACATGCCCATCAGGGCTAGGAGGAGTTCCATGGACTGGCAGTCAGCATCCTCGTGCTCCAGGCACTTCCACTCCAGGGCCTCCACGCAGGCCAAGTGGCCCTGCTGCACTTGGTTCCATGCCTCCACCTTCCAGACCTGCTCCCATGCTTCCCATGCCTGCTCCCACATTTCTTCTGTCACTGCCACCAGCTGCTGGAGCAGCAGCCACTGGACTGGACTGCTCCAGAGGTGGGTGGTGGTGACCCTAACATGGGATCCCCCCTGGGGCTGGTGGGCTCTCCCCCATCTCGAGATGTTGGCTCTGCAGAGGCAAGAGACAGAAGTCGAATCAGTGACCAAAGTATCAGAATCAGACAGAAGTCAAAATCAGCGACAGAGGCTGCACCAGCGACAGAAGTATTTTGTGAGAGTCTGAGACATTTCAGAGACAAGATGTTCTGTATCAGGGGCTGTGCACTGCCTGGCCTCAGAGAGGGGATCAGCTATGCGTTGATGCCCAGGGACCATGGTAAGTTGGCTGGGCAGGCCTGGGCCCTGGCAGCCTCTGGCCGAGCCCCCCACCCCTCCTTGCTCCCCTGGGGCTGGCAGCTGGCTGGGTGCTGGATGCAGGCAGCCTGCCTCCCCTGCCCCCTTCCCAGGGCAGGCCAGACGAGGCTGCTGGAAGCACCTGCTGCTGTGGCTGCGGACCCCTGCTCCCCACACCGCCCTAGAGGCGAACAGCTCTACTGCAGTGCTACCTAGACCACGGCACCCGGGCTTGGGGCTCCCAGACAACTGGGGTGAGGGGCTGACTGCACCTGTGCCCTCTTCACAGGGGACCTCTCCAAGGAGGCCTCTTGGAGGTGCTGCACCTGGGGAGGAAGAACCGGCAGCATACCTACAGGCTGGGAAACTCCTCTCTCATCAGTGCAGAGGCAGAAAAGGATCTTGGAATCATTATTGATGAAAAAATGAACAAGGGCCGACAGTGTGGGGACGCGGTCAGGAAGGCCAGCCATACCTCGTCATGCATCCACAGATGCATCTTGAGCAGGTCCAAGGAGGTGATCCTCCCCCTCTATGCAACACTGGTCAGGTCACAGCTGGAGTACTGTGTCCAGTTCTGGGTGCCGCACTTCAGGAGGGATGTGGACAACATGGAGAGGGTCCAGAGGAGGGCCACTCGCATGATCAGGGGGCAGCAGGGCAGGCCCTACGAGGAGAGGCTATGAGACCTGAACCTGTTCAGCCTTCACAAGAGAAGACTGAGGGAGGATCTAGTGGCTGTTTACAAACTAGTCAGGGGGGACCAGGGGGGACCACCAGGCATTAGGGGAGTCCCTTTTCCCCCCCCGAGCACTACCAGGAGTGACAAGAAATAACGGTCACAAGCTGGCAGAGGATAGATTTAAGCTAGGTATCAGGAGGCTTGGTGATTAGCTTAAATTCGTCATTTTAAATGTGCATTAAGGGCATGCATGTGTTGATGCATGCTCTTGACACACACTGAATTAGGCTAATGTGCATTAATGTGCCTCCTGTAGACGTGCCCTTTGTGTAACTTTTTAAAACCTATTTTTCAGTGATTTGGGGAATTGTATTGTGGTCGACTGGCCAAACTGGAAAATAATAAGTGGTTATGCTCCCAAGCATTGTTTTGTGGGCCGTGAACACTTGTAATGCTTTAAATGGCCACAAAAAAGGAAAAAAATACAGGCATCATTCAAACTGTTGGAAGTGCAATAAAGGTAGCAGATCCATAACAGAACTGTTTCTCTTTCAAAGACATCTTTTTTATAGCAGGATATTTTGTAGCACCGTGTATAATACTTGTCTAGTTAAACGTAAAGCTATAGGGCATCCTTTGGACCTTCAGCATCGCACAGTCCTCCATGCTCCCTCCCTCCCTCTTAGAGGGGAGGAGGGTGGGAAAGCAGATGGGTCTTTGGCAGCCCACTGTGGTACATTACATAGTTAACCCTGTTGCAAAACACAAGGCACAAAGCCTGGTTTACCATAGGTAAGGTAGGGGACATAGCAGCCAATATCTTGTGGCTGCAAAGGTTGTGAAAATATGTTCAAGAAATCCAAGGAAAAGGGCCATGCTACCTGCTACAGAGGAAGGCAAAAAACCCCCACAGTCTGTACCAATCTGACCCCAACCATGGGGCAAAATTGTTTCTTGACCCCAAATATGGTGATCAGTCCAAACCTGAGCAGAGGGGCAAGACTCTTTAACCCCAAACCTCCAGATTCAAGTCCCAGGAGGTACATCGGCATACTCAAGTCAAAATCTTCAGCATTGGCTGCAGCCAACACCCAATGCTTCCAAAAGGGAAAACAAAACAAAGCAAAGCAATGTAAAACAAAGCAAAGAACAAATTCAACAAATTACATGTAGTAAGAGGAAGGGGGGGAAAATGCTCTTTCAACCCCATGTGGTAACCAGTGAATTCCAGACACATGGGAAAAACCCATAGTAGAGCACAGACATAGCTACTCCTAGACAAATGTTTGTCCAACCTCTTCTTGAATACCTCCAGTGATGGAGATTCAACAACTTCTCTAAGGCAGTCTATTCCACTTCCTCACTCTTTTAATGGTGAAGTTTTTCTTGATATCCAATCTAAACCTCAACTTCAAGCCACTGGTCTGTGTTCTGTCTTCTGCAGAGAATGATAAAGAGATATTTTCCCTCTTCTTTATGGCAGCCCTTCAAGTATCTGAAGGCTGCTATCATGTCCCCTCTTAAGCACCTTTTCTGCAAACTGAACATGCCTACAAGTATTTCTT